AATGCAAAATAGCGAAGAAAATCGCATTCGAAATTACGTGTGTTCACAATACCTTACAAAAAACACTGTGTTCACAATACCTTGTTTACCCTATATAAAAAAATATTTGTAAATTTTCAAAATAAATTTATGTAGGTAGATACTTTCTTTGCAGTTAATTGTTCATTCTACAAGGGAATTGAAGTTTACAAAATAAAATACAAGCCATTCAAAACGAATTTTCTATCATCCTGAAAAAGCTTTAATACTTTAGCAAGCCGAAGCCAAATCAATTCCTAGAATGCGCTTTAAGAAGAGTTTATTGAAGACACAAAATTTGAATGTCAAAGTCGTCCTGGAGGACATCTTTTCGGACTTCAAAAACTTTCACGAGAAATGCCGCTTGTGTTTCATACCAGTTTCCAAACGATGCTCGAGGATAAAAATCACAGATGAAATACAGAACAAGATTCATTCTGTCTTACAAGTTCATCTGTCAATGGATGGAACAGGATCAGAATTCATGTGTTCAAAATGTACAAACAATATAAATAATTTCCATCTATTTAAGTGTAAAATTAATGATAAACAGATGGTTTTTGAAAAGTTTAGTAACAAAAAAGTAAGAAATACCAACGACAAACTGTCAATGCCTTTCCAGGAGATTTTAATCAAAACCGAAGACGAATTAAATATACCAACAGAGACAAACTTGGTTTCTCCATTCTATGACTTTAAAGAAAAAATTTCTGAAACAGAATATGAAAGTTCAATCGATGTGACATTGTTATTCACGGAGAATTTCATCAAAACAGAAGATGAATTAAATGTACCAACAGAGACAAACTTAGTTTCTCCATTCTATGACTCGAAAAAAGAAATTTCTGAACAAAATTATGAAGGTTCAATCGATGTGACATTGTTATTCGAGGAGAATTTTATCAAAACCGAAGATGAATTAAATCTACCAGCAGAGACAGAGTTGAATTCACCAATTTATGAAGTTAAAGAAGAAATTTCTGAGGAGGTACAAGAAAATCGAAACGATGCTACTGAAAGTCAGAATGTGGAGTCAAATGATTTTTTAGGGAAGGCTCAGTCAAATCCAACATTTATTCCTTCTAATGTTGTTAGTGGTAAAGTGTTAAAAAGTGGTCGCAAACGTCAGCAAGATCAGAATAGGAGATACAAATCTAGAATTGTTTATTGTGACATTTGTGGAAAAACTTGCAGAGATTTATACACTATTGCATTGCATATGAACACACATAAGAAATATAGAACAAAAGATTTTCATTGCGAAATTTGTGAAGGTTCTTACTTTGATGAACATGGGCTTCAAAAACATATACTAAATGTTCATGAAAAATCAAAGCTTCTTACTTGTTCATTATGCAGAAGAACTTTTAGGACGAAAGAGAGCTTGAAAACCCATATTTCACGTCTCTGTCGTGTACCTTGTGAGGTCTGTGGAAAAATGATTCGGAAGAATTCACTCAAAGCACATCTAAAAAGAGTTCATTTAAAAAGTAGAACATATCGGTGTGATATTTGTGGAAAGAAATGCTGCAGCACACATCTTTCTCATCTCGTGACTACTCATATCGGTTTAGAACACAGAACAAAAGATCATCAATGCGATATTTGTAATAAAGTTTTCTTCGATAAGGATGGAATAAAAATGCATATGACACAATGTCATGGAAATACGAAATTTCCATGCGATTTGTGTGGAAAAACTTTTAAATGTGCGCCATTCTTGAAACAGCATAGTATTAGATGTTCAATGGAGGCAAATAATTCATCAAAAATTGACTGTGATACGTGTGGGAAAGTTTGTATAGGCCCAAATTCATATCTTAATCACATGATTGATATTCATAAAATCACTCCAGACAAAGAACAACTTCTAAAAAAAGATGCTTGTGATGTTTGTGGAAAACGTTTTTTTACTAAACGTTCCCTACTAAATCACCAAAAAATGCATGGAAAAAGAAATTTCACTTGTGACTTTCCTGGATGTCAGAAGAAATTCTTAGAAAAAAGGAGTATTAGGAGACATACTTTAACCATTCATAAAAATATCCGTGAANATGTTATAAAATATTTGAAATTACAAAGGAATTAAAGTATACAAAATAAAATAAGTCATTGAAAACGAATTTTCAATAATTCTTAATATGAATGTCTTGAAAACACAAGATATGAATGTCAAAGTCGTCCTGGAGGACATCTTTTCGGACTTCAAAAACTGTCACGAGAAATGCCGCTTGTGTTTCATACCAGTTACCAAACGATGCTCGAAAATAAAAATCACAGATGAAATACAAAACAAAATCCAATCTGTCTTGCAAATTCACTTGTCAATGGATGGAACAGGATCAAAATTTATATGTTCAAAGTGTGAGAGCAGTATAAATAATTTTCATTTTTTTAAGTGCAAAATAAATGAGAAACAGAAGATTTTTGAAAAGTTTAGTAAAAAAAAAATTAGAAATATCAAGGATGAAGTGCCATTCCAAGAGAATAATATCAAAACTGAAGATGAATTAAATATATCATCAGAGACGGAGTTGACTTTACCAATTTATGAAGTTAAAAATGAAATTTCTGAACCAGAACATGAAAGTCCAAACGATCTTAATGAAGGTCGCAAAATTGAGACAAATAAACGTCGAAAACAAGATCAGTCAAATCCTCAATTTGTCTCTTGCATTGTGTGTGAAAAAGTATTGAAAAATACTCGTATACTTTCAATTCACTATAAGAGAATGCATTCCGATTCAAAAGTCTTTCAATGTGACATTTGTGGAAAAACTTGTGGAAGTATGCATAATATTGCTTTGCATATGAACACGCATAAGAAATATAGAACAAAAGATTTTCAATGCCATATTTGTGAAAATTATTACTTCGACAAACAATACCTTCGACAGCATATATCGAACGCTCATAATCCTAAATTAGTTCCTTGTGATACTTGTGGAAAATTATTAAAGAAAAAATCACTCAAGGAGCATCACAGGATTATGCATTCAATAATTAATTTATTTCGTTGCGATATATGTGGAAAAACGTTCAAAACCCGAGCCAACATTGATGCTCACATGGTCACGCATAAAATTTTAAGAGTAAGAGACTTTCATTGTAAAATTTGTTTAGGTTCATACTTCGATGAGAATGGACTTCGAAGTCATATGTTAAAAAATCATGAAAGACCAAAGCACCTTACCTGTTCATTATGTAGAAAAACTTTTAGGACAGAGGAAGGCTTAAAAAAGCATAAATTACTTCCTCACCGTGTACCTTGCAAGGTCTGTGGAAAAATGCTTCTAAAGTATGCACTCAAAGAACACCTTAGAGCAGTGCATTTCAAAATTAAACCGTATCAGTGTGATATTTGTGGAAAGAAACTATATAAAACATCTCTTGCTAGTCACGTGACTTCACATATAGGTTTGGAACACAGAACAAAAGATCATAAATGCGACCTTTGTAATAAAGTTTTTTTCGACAAGATTAGAATAAAAAAGCATATGAAACATTGTCACAGAAATTCAAAATTTCCATGTGATTTGTGCAAAAGAACTTACACAAGTAAATCTTACTTGAAGAAGCATAGATGTCCAATGAAAGTAAATAAATGGTCAAAAATTGACTGTGATACGTGTGGTGAAGTTTTTCAAGGCCCAAATGTATACTTCAATCATATGATTAATATTCACAAAATCACTCCAGACAAAGAACAACTTCTTAACACAGTTGCTTGTGATGTTTGTGAAAAACGTTTCTTTACTAAACGATCCTTACTAAATCATCAAAGTACACATGTAAAGAGAATTTTCACTTGTGACTATCCTGAATGTCAGAAGAAATTCTTAGAAAATAAGAATCTTAGAAGACATACTTTAACCATTCATAAAAGTATTCGTGAAAAATGTCCAGTTGGAAATGGATGCAAATACTCAGGAGCAAGAAAAGATTACATGACAACCCATTTGAAGAATCACAAAGAACTTTCCCCTGGAGAGCTACAAAATTATCTCAAATTATTACGAACCATCAATCTTTTCTAGAGCATTTACGGAGGCCCCACCCTAGGGTGACGGGCAACCGTATTGGATTTACGCAAAAATTTCAAAAAATTTTCTTTGCTTAGTTACACTTAAAATGACTTGAAACGTCGAGAAAAGTGAAAAAAAACGAAAAAAAAATTTGTGTCCGCTTTCGGGTCTGGATGTAGCTCTGTAGCTCTGTAGCTCTGTAGCTCTGTAGACACTCCCATTTCCACATTTCTTGACCGATTTGGAAAATTTCTTTACCAATGTGTTTTAAATACAAATAGAATTTTTCTATCAAATTTTGGGGTTCGTACCTTTGATATTTCGGATACCTGCCATACAAAGTTGCCCTTTTTCNGAAGGCCCAACAATAGGTTTAGGACATCAATTCAATCATTCACCCTAAGATTCTCAATGCATTTAGGACAAATAAAGACTTGAAGTTGAAAGAGTTAATACGGAGAAACGGTTAGTTAGCACTTTGAAATATATAGATATTTGTAAATTTTGAAATGAATTTTGTTCCCTTGCAGTAAATCGTTCATTCTTTGTCGAGATTTAGTGGAATCTTTCATATACATATATGTTATAAAATATTTGGAATTACAAAGGAATTAAAGTATACAAAATACTTGCAAAATAAAATAAGTCATTAAAAACGAATTTTCAATAATTCCTAATATGAATGTCTTGAAAACACAAGATATGAATGTCAGAGTCGTCCTGGAGGACATCTTTTCGGATTTCAAAACCCGTCACGAGAAATGTCGCTTGTGTTTCATACCAGTTACCAAACGATGCTCGAGAATAAAAATCACAGATGAAATACAAAACAAAATCCAATCTGTCTTGCAAATTCACTTGTCAATGGATGGAACAGGATCAAAATTTATATGTTCAAAGTGTGAGAGCAATACAAATCATTTTCATCTGTTTAAGTGCAAAATAAATGAGAAACAGAAGATTTTTGAAATGTTTAGTAAAAAAGAAAATAGAAATATCAAGGATGAAGTGCCATTCCAAGAGAATTACATCAAAACTGAAGATGAATTAAATATATCAACAGAGACGGAGTTGAATTCACCAATTTATGAAGTTAAAAATGAAATTTCGGAACCAGAACATGAAAGCCCAAACGATCTTAATGAAGGTCGGAATGTTGAGACAAATAAACGTCGAAAACAAGATCAGTCAAATCCTCAATTTGTCTCTTGCATTGTGTGTGAAAAAGTATTAAAAAATAATCGTATACTTTCAATTCACTATAAGAGAATGCATTCCGATTCAAAAGTCTTTCAATGTGACATTTGTGGAAAAACTTGCGGAAGTATGAATAATATTGCTTTGCATATGAACACGCATAAGAAATATAGAACAAAAGATTTTCAATGCCATATTTGTGAAAATTATTACTTCGACAAACAATACCTTCAACAACATATATCGAACGCTCATAATCCTAAATTAGTTCCTTGTGATATTTGTGGAAAATTATTAAAGAAAAACTCACTCAAGGAGCATCACAGGATTATGCATTCAATAATTAATTTATTTCGTTGCGATATATGTGGAAAAACGTTCAAAACCCGAGCCAACATTGATGCTCACATGGTCACGCATAAAATTTTAAGAGTAAGAGACTTTCATTGTAAAATTTGTTTAGGTTCATACTTCGATGAGAATGGACTTCGAAGCCATATGTTAAAAAATCATGAAAAACCAAAGCATCTTACCTGTTCATTATGCAGAATAACTTTTAGGACAGAAGAAGGGCTGAGAAAACATAAGTTACTTCCTCACCGTGCACCTTGCAAGGTCTGTGGAAAAATGCTTCGAAAGTATGCACTCAAAGAACATCTAAGAAGAGTGCATTTCAAAATTAAACCGTATCAGTGTGATATTTGTGGAAAGAAACTATATAGAACATCTCTTGCCAGTCACGTGACTACACATATTGGTTTGGAACACAGAACAAAAGATCATAAATGCGACCTTTGTAATAAAGCTTTTTTCGACAGGATTAGAATAAAAAAGCATATGAAACATTGTCACAGAAATTCAAAATTTTCATGCGATTTGTGCAAAAGAACTTACACAAGCAAATCTTACTTGAAGAAGCATAGATGTCCAATGAAAGTAAATAAATGGTCAAAAATTGACTGTGATACGTGTGGTGAAGTTTTTCAAGGCCCAAATGTATACTTCAAACATATGATTAATATTCACAAAATCACTCCAGATAAAAAACAACTTCTAAACACAGTTGCTTGTGATGTTTGTGAAAAACGTTTCTTTACTAAACGATCTCTACTAAATCATCAAAGTGCACATGAAAAGAGAATTTTCACTTGTGACTATCCTGAATGTCAGAAGAAATTCTTAGAAAAAAAGAGTCTTAGAAGACATACTTTAACCATTCATAAAAGTATTCGTGAACCATGTCCTGTTGGAAATGGATGCAAATACTCAGCAGCAAGAAAAGATTGCATGACAAGACATTTGAAGGAACACAAAAAACTTTCCCCTGGAGAGCTACAAAGTTATCTCAAATTATTACGAACCATGAATCTTTTCTAGAGCCTTTTGTTGATGTAAAGATAGAATGAAGTAACCAAGTAATTTACTAGACATTCTAATATTTTAATCTGATTTAATTTGCGATAAAATTTTAAAGCAATTCTTATAAACACAATTTTAACTTATATAACAATAAAGAAATATTCTTATTCGTTTAAATAATTCCGTATCGTCTTTGATAAGTATCTAATTGTTTTTAAATTAATAGCAAATTATTCTTAGGTAGTTATTTGATAGCAGAGGTAATCATTGAAACTTAAGCGAATAATTAGAAAGGTAAGACTTTTAATCTGAATAAAATTTTCCCACGGATTAATTGAAATTTCGAAAGTTCGTGTGAATTACACTAGAGGTCGGGCGTGTTTGATTACATATTTATCAATTCAGATTCGAAGCTCGTCCTTACTTTTGACAAGTTTTTAATCATTCCGCAGCTTTCAAAGTGAAAGATTATAAATTAAAATTAAATACGATTCTCAATACATTTAGGACTAATATAGAATTGAAGTTGAAAGAGCCAATACCGAGAAACGGTTAGTTAAATAAAATAAATATTTGTAAATTTTGAAAATATATGAATATTCAGTTTAGTTGCAGTGAATCGTTCATTCTTCAAAGGAATTAAAGTTTACAAAATAAAATAAAAGCCATTCCAAACGAATTTTCAATCATCCTGAAAAAGCTTTAATACTTTAGCAAGCTGAAGCCAAATTAATTCCTAGAATGCGCTTTAAGAAGAATCTATTGAAGACACAAGATATGAATGTCAAAGTCGTCCTGGAGGACATCTTTTCGGACTTCAAAAACTGTCACGAGAAATGTCGCTTGTGTTTCATACCAGTTACCAAACGATGCTCAAGAATAAAAATCACAGATGAAATACAGAACAAAATCCAATCTGTCTTGCAAGTTCACCTGTCAATGGATGGAACAGGATCAAAATTTATATGTTCAAAGTGTGAGAGCAGTATAAGTAATTTCCATCTATTTAAGTGCAAAATAAAAGAGAAACAGAAGTTTTTTGAAAAGTTTAGTAACAAAAAAGTTAGAAATATTAAGGATGAAGTGCTATTCACAGAAGATGTCATCAAAACCGAAGACGAATTGAATGTACCAACAGAGAAAAACTTAGTTTCTCCATTCTATGACTTGAAAGAAGAAATTTCTGCACCTAAATACAAAAGTTCAATCGATGTGACATTGTTATTCAAGGAGAATTTCATCAAAATCGAAGATGAATTAAATGGACCAACAGAGACAAACTTGGTTTCTCCATTCTATGACTCGAAAGAAGAAATTTCTGAACAAAATTATGAAGGTTCAATCGATGTGACATTGTTATTCGAGGAGAATTTTATCAAAACCGAAGATGAATTAAATCTACCAGCAGAGACAGAGTTGAATTCACCATTTGATGAAATTAAAGAAGAAATTTCTGAGGACGTACAAGAAAATCCAAACGATGTTAATGAAAGTCAGAATGTGGAGTCAAATGAATTTTTTTTAAGGAAGGATCAGTCAAAACCAACATTTATTTCTAGTAATGTTAGTGGAAAAGTGTTAAAAAGTGGTCGCCAACGTCAGCAAGATCAGAATAGGAGATACATATCTAGAACTGTTTATTGTGATATTTGTGGAAAAACTTGCAGAGATTCACACTCTATTGCATTGCATATGAACACGCATAAGATATATAGAACAAAAGATTTTCATTGCGAAATTTGTGGAGGTTCTTACTTTGATGAGAATGGACTTCGAAAACATACACTAAATGTTCATAAAAAATCAAAGCATCACACCTGTTCATTATGCAGAAGAACTTTTAGGACGAAAGAGAGCTTGAAAACCCATATTTCAAATCCCTGTCGTTTACCCTGTGAGGTCTGTGGAAAAATGATTCGGAAGAATTCACTCAAAGCACATTTGAATAGAGTTCATTTAAAAAGTAGACCATATCGGTGTGATATTTGTGGAAAGAAATGCTGCAGCACACATCTTTCTCATCTCGTGACTACACATAGTGGTTTGGAACACAGAACAAAAGATTATCAATGCGATATTTGTAATAAAGTTTTCTTCGATAAGGATGGAATAAAAATGCATATGACACAATGTCATGGAAATACGAAATTTCCATGCGATTTGTGTGGAAAAACTTTTAAATGTGCGTCATTCTTGAAACAGCATAGTATTAGATGTCCAATGAAGGTAAATAATTCATCAAAAATTGACTGTGAAACGTGTGGTAAAGTTTGTATAGGCCCAAATTCATACTTAAATCATATGATTAATGTTCATAAAATTGCGCCAGACAAAGAACAACTTTTAAAAACAGATGCTTGTGATGTTTGTAACAAACGTTTTTTTACTAAACACTCCCTACGTGATCACCAAAGAACGCATAGAAAAAGAAATCTCAATTGTGACTTTCCTGGATGTCAGAAGAAATTCATAACAAAAGCGGGTATAAGAAGACACATTTTTACCATCCATAAAAATATCCGTGAAAAATGTCCAGTTAGAAATGGATGCACCTACTCAGCAGGAAGAAAAGATTACATGACAAACCATTTGAGGAATCACAAAGAACTTTCTCATGAAGAGCTGCAAAGTTATTTCAACACGATTCAAACCATGAATCTTATTTAGAGATTTCAATTCTATTGACTTTTGTTCAAAAGTTAAGGACCTGGTGGGGTCGTTATCTCTAGAAACTTAAATTTGTCTGTACAGATTTACAAAGTTGTTTGAAATTCGACGAGGTTTTGGGCTCAATCAACGATTCTCGGTAGACTTTTAAAACTTCATCGAGCTCATACATTTATTAAATGTTTAGTTCATTACGATTTCACTGAATTTCAAAACCTATGAAATACCTACCTATGAAATACCCAAATAAAAATCTTATTCACAGATCATTCTTTGCATTCATATTTTTATTTTAAACTTTTTCTTTATTTCTTGCTGCTTTTTATTGCATGGTGTACATTAAAGTCCATTTCTAATTGTCTATATTGTAGAATAGTCAGTTATTTGATAGCAGAGCTAATAGTTGAAATATAAGCGAAAAATTAGGTAGAACTTATAAACTGAATAAAATTTTCCCGCGGATTATTTGAAATTCTGAAAGTACGTGTGAAATACGCTAGAGGTCGGGCATGTTTGTTATTATGTTTATCAATTCAAGACTCGAAGCTCATTACTTACTATCATCAATTTTTTAATCATTCTGCATTTTCAAAGTGAAAAGTTTATAAATTAAAATTAAATAAGATTCTCAATGCATTTAGGACAAATAAAGACTTGAAGTTGAAAAAGTTAATACGGAGAAACGGTTAGTTAGCACTTTAAAATATATATTTAAATTTAAATAAATGTAAATTTTGAAATAAATTTTGTTTCCTTGCAGTAAATCGTTCATTCTTTGTCGAGATTTAGTGGAATCTTTCATATATGTA